TAGAGTAACTTGTACCCGGGGTAGCAACTAAGACACCTATAAAAATAAAGAGAGTTCACCAAAATATGTAGCATGGTTAACTAGTACAAATTTTTTGACAAATGAAAGAGTACTCACACATTATGAACAAAGCCATATAAAACAAAGCCAGTACTTCATTTACAATACATCAAGAGATTCAAATAAATAAACTGACCAAAATATAGGCATTTCAGGACAGAAACACAATAATCTTCTTATAAAATCGCAAATATTGGGTAAACAGGGTACCCAGACCTTTTTCATTTGGGCATCTAGACAGCTGCAAATCTGAAATTTCACAACCTACAAACTGCGAACTAACTCCAAAAATCTGGGTTGGGTCTGTTTAGGGTTTAGCCAAGTGCAAAGCACTGAAACAGAATTCATAAAAAAAATTTGATTCAATCTCACACGACGCTAAACAAAGGATTTTCAAACACAAACCAACAGAGAAATTAATGCAGGAGATTTCCTAGAGCCGATTCATCGCATCAAATTCCATTTCAAAAACATTAAAATTCTATGAGAATCACCGAAAGATGTAATATTTATCCAGACGACAAACCATGAACAATAAAAAAAACAGCGCAAGCCGAAGAACATCCAAGCAGCAAATCACAGATCGGGTATAAACGTACCTGTTTGTTTATCTCAACGCCGATGGCGCGCTTGGTGACGTTCCAGACGCGACCGGTGCGGCCATGGTAGAACTTGTGAGGCATGCCTTTGTGGACGGCGCCGTTAACCTTGACGTCCACATAGTCGCCGATGTGGAATGTCCGGAGGTAGGTGGAGAGCGGGATCGTCCCCTTCTTCCTGAAGCCGCGGGCAAAGAGATCCCTTGTTCTCGACCGCAACCCGTGTCCCGCCGGCATTTGCTTCTTTCTTCTGGCGGACTGAGAGATACTCCGTATCAAAGAACCCTAGCCGCCTAGAGATTATATAGACAGGTACTAGTGTATACGAATTGAATCAAATATACCTCCGTCCTAAAATTAATTTCTCATTTTGACTTTTGCAGTCAAAGTTTTTAAACTTTGACTTTATATTACGGAAAAAATATATTGAATTTTCATATAAATTTAGTTTCAATAGATTAATTTTGAAACATAGTTTTGAAATATACTCACTCCATCCCAAAAAGAATGGGACGGTTTGACTTTTTGGGAAATTAAGGGATGGATATTTTAGTATTGACTTTCCAAAAATGCCCTTGATGTGATGGGTAAAAGTAGGATGTGACGGGTAGATTATTAGGAAAAAGGTATGATGTGATAGGTAGGGTATGAAAAAGTAAGAGGTAAAAGTGGTTTTTTAATAGAAATGTAACGGATTTTACGGGACACAGTTTTTTCTAAACGTAACAAACTTTTTGGGACGGAGGGAGTATTATTTTGATAATATATATTCATATAAAAATGAAAATATTAATGGTCAAAGTGCCGCATTGGAGACCGTGAAAAGTCAAACGAGAAGTTAATTTTAGGACGGAGGGAGTATCTAACTATTCGATTCGTATTCGCATTAAAAAGATCTCTATTCAAATTCGTATTCGTTTGTTATTTAAATTTTTAAAAATATTTGTATTCGATTTGATAACATATTCGATATATTCGTATTCGTATTCGAATATTCGAATTCGAAATCACTGAAATATTTTTTTAGTAAATTACCCAGGGATAGTACATTATTCTTTTTTATAAAGTGCAAGTAACATAAATTGACAAATTCATCATAAGACGTTCAAAATGCTACCGAAATTGCCATGAATTATAGAAACAACATGTGACATGTCCCAAAACGTGGAAATGGGAATCATTCAAAATAGGGGTGGGGGAAACAACATGTCCCAAACTACTACGAATTAGGGAAACATGTCCCAAACACACATTCTACTATACTGGTAGAAATGGGAATCATTCAACAAACAAACAAAGAAACACAAGGGTGGTGGAGGGAGATGCCCAAAAGCAAATTTTAACTGCTTGTTCTTCATCTCTTAGTCTTTAAGTATTACTTCAACCATAGGCTCTTCGTCCTACAAAAAAAATAGTGATAGGATAATTAAAAACCAGCAGTTAGTTATTTATTTTCATATAGTATAAAATCATGAATAACTTACATAGATCATAAGGGATTGCTTGATTCCATGTAGCCGACAAACCCAGTCCGCCCCACAAATTAAGACTTGTACCATCTCTGAAGTTAACTTCGAACAATATGGGTCCAAGATGCGAGTACCTGCACTGAATGTAGCCTCAGAAGCTACCGAACTAATCGGAATTGCCAAAATATCACGAGCCAACTTTGACAATATCTTAAACTTCAATTCATGAGACCTCCACCATGCTAAGGCATCAAAATCAGAACTTACTTCACCCTCGTGACATCTAAAAACCCCTTCTTCCAAGTAAATGTCTAATTCAGATTTTACCAGAACATCAGTTTCAACTGTATTGAGATACTCATCAAATGAATAGAACTTCCTCTAGCATTCCTCACATTTTCAGCAAGAACATATTCAGAGAATAACTTGTATAATGCATTTCGGACATCAATAACACTTGTGCTTGCCAGAGTTTCACCATATAATTTTCCAAAAGCAAAATCAACAAGTCTCATCTTGAATCTAGGGTCCAGTATGGCTCCAATTGACATCAACAAGTTGCAATCACCCCAATATTTATCAAACTTCAGTTTCATTTCAAAAATCATTTGACGAATACGTTCATTGATATGGCTTACATTTTCATCTATGACATATTTGACTCTCCAAACAGCAGCAAGAAAAAGATTGGCGGTCGGATAGTGAGTTCCAGATATGACGTGAGTAGCTTCGTAAAACACCTCGAAAATGTTAACAACATCATTCACTAACACCCAATCACTATCACTAAGACAATGTTCATAAGAAGGCTCCATTTGCTTGAATATTGGAAATGCATCTTTCACCTTAAGAGCTAAAAGTAACATCTCATAGGTAGAATTCCACCTAGTCGCACAATCAATAATCAACCTTTTTGCAGGAATTCCGAATTGATGTACAATTTGTGAGAACTTAATCAATCTAGCCTCAGATTGACTAATGAACCGCACACTCTTCCTTACTTTCCTAACAATACCTTCGATTTCCTTGATTCCATCTTGCACAATTAGGTTCAAAATATGAGCAGTGCATCGAACATGGAATAACTCACCTTTCAAAGGTAACAAATTTTTCCGAGAGAATGTGTCTTTCGCAACGTTAATGGCAACATCATTGTTTGATGTGTTGTCCACTGAAATTGTATAAACCTTATCTTCTATTCCCCACTCTTTTGTGCACCTCATAAGCTTATCGATGATGTCGAGACCTAAAAATTAATAACAAAAATACATTAAAAAAACATAAATATGGGAAAATATACTACAAGTTAAAGATTAATTATGCTCTTACCAGTATGAGGAGGAGGGAGAGGTATGAAATTGAGAAGAAGTTTTTGAAGATCCCAATTTGCATCAACATAATGCCTAACACACATATAGGAAATCTTTTGCACTTTTGATTTCCAAATATCAGTGGTCAAGGAAATCTTTTTAATGCTTGTTAAGGCCAACTGTATTTTCTTCTTCTCTAGCTCATAAACACTAACCACATCGCTTCTTACAGAGGCCCGTGAAATCTTTTCATATTGTGGTTGATTGATTTTAAGCATAAAAGTAAAGAATGGGCTCTCTGTAACATTTAAGGGCTGCTCAGTTGTTAAAATCCAATGGGCAGTGGCTTCTCTTTGCTTGCTATGGTCATACTTACCATCAAAAAGAGGCTTCATCTCAAAGGCAGAGGTTTTTGGCTGCAGTTGTAAGGTTTGTTGATTTCTCTGGTGAATTTGGCTCTGTAAACACCTTCCTAAATGATTTTTAAAGTGAGATGTTGTGCTTGAAGAATTCATACAAAGGAGTTTCCCACAATGAATGCATTTGTGTTTCTTCACTCCACCATTGACAATGACATCTTCAAAATCTTGATGAACTTTTGACACTTTTTTTCTCTTTTTTCTTTGAAAGTTGGTAGCATTATCTACATCATCTACACTTTCATCTTCGACTTGTACATTAGTGACATTGACACTCTCATCAACATTTGTAGCAACACCTTCAATCTGATCATTTTCATTGTTGACTGATTGTAGTACCTATTAAAACCACTTATGTTTGATAGTATAAAATTTAGTGATTATAAGAATTTCACACCTCATTGATGGGGGAGGACTCGGGAACATCATCTGGAGTTACAGAACTATCGGGCAGACGCAAAAGAACATAGGGCGTAAGTTCGCATCCTACTATGGGTATCTCTGACGGGAGATGCACTCGCACCACAGTCACCATTCTGGGATAAGCAGATCAGTCCACACTTTTCTCACTGATTCTAAAGTTAAAGAACTCACTTCATAACCACAACCACCTTCACCCAAGCAAACGGACTCTTCAAATTGGGAAGCAAAGACGAGAATAGACCTGAGGCGGGCAGGAGGCGCTTCCGCCATTACCAAATACACGGAACAATCGCCAGCCTTTCTATCCCGGCCGAAAATCCCAAATTTTCAAGAAGAAGAACAGCGAAATCAAAACTGGAATGAAGATATAATGAAATTGGGAAGCAGTGAGAGCCTTTCAGAGAAGATTGGAAGATTGGGAAAAACAAAATGAGAAATTCGAATGTCTTCGCATTTGATTGCGCGAGAACGGGGCGATTAACGACAAATCGATGAATGGATCATATCGACGGATCTGATTATACAGACAGAATAAGCTAGGTGTGGTAAAGAGAGTAAGGTCCCATATTATAAAAAATTACTTGAGGATCCTCTAAAATTTAATGTTTAAGACTGGGGTGTTTCCGTCTAACCCATCGTCAAACCACCCTCAGTAGAAATGATTTATCTATTTTACCCTTATTTATTTCCTAAATAAATGGTGGCCTCAAACCTTCTTACCATATTCACTTTATCCAGTTGCCTTCGCCTTCCTCCTGCTCTCTGTTTAGCATGTCCAACAATCTTCTTCCCCATCAAAGTTATTGACCCTCTTCTCTATGGTATGGAATGCCCAGACTCATCATTATTATTGTAGATGTTTTTTTTAATTCTTTTTCCTGAAGATGATGCTGTTTTTTTTTTAAATTTTTTTTCTCAAATCTCATTGTCATCTTTACGTAGGTTTTAAATTTCAGCCAATGTCTGGCTTTTAATGGTGTGGTTAATTCACTCCATATTTGCCATATTTTTTCAGTGGAATAATCTTCAAAAAAGTATGCCTACAATTAGTTCATGCTGAAAAAAAATATTCCTGGAAATTATATAATTTTCTCTATGAAACTCTTTCTATCTCTACCTTAAATTACAATTTTTAAAATGTGTATTTTTTTAATTTTTATCCTCAAGTGTCGAAATTACTTGTAGGAACAAATATCTTAATTTGCAAACTGAAAGTTAAAATTTATAGGAAAAGAAAAATTATAATAATAATAAATAATTAAGATATGTAGAAAATAAAAGTTTGAGAATAAAAGATTATAAGGTTTAAGAGAAACACCTCCAAGATTTAAGAGAAAAAATTTGAAATTTTATAGCAGTAGCTAAGCTCTTGATGTTGGTTATTTTAGTGGTAGCTAAATGTTGTATGTTCCAACCTAAGGTCTTTGTTTTTAAAATAGGTTTATTCTTAGTATTTGTACATCCTATATTATGAAGTTGGTGATGCTTAATTTGGGTGCTTTATATGTTTAGGCACCTACTGTAACACCCTAATCCGTCCAGGTCTGCAGCCCCTTTCGGACTAAAGTATTAACTTGGTAATCGTAAAATTTAAAACTTTTCAAACACTTTTATTTATCACGATAATATTTTTCATAACATATACAGTGCGGAGTTTTCAATATTGCGGAAGCTTAACAAATCATAATTACAAACATAATTTATTTATGTTCTTTAATTCAAAACCATCACATCCATTCCGACAATCTCGCCTCCGTCTGCCTCCAGAATCAC